CTGAGGCATGAAGAGAATGTGTTGGCATTTCTAAAGTGCTGAAAAATAAGTGGCAACAGAGAACTCTGACCCAGGGAAAACATACTGCAAAATGAAGGAGAATAGAAACACATTCTGAAACAAACCAAAAGCAGAGAGAATTCAACCATAGCAGACTGACACTACAAAAAACCCACTAAAGCTCTTTACGCTGAAGGAAAATGATACCGTATATAAACAAAAAAGGGTAATATTAAATGAGCAGACCTGAAGAAAATAAATATATGGGTTAATAAAAAGACAACTGAAAAATAATAAACAATGTGCTATATATATTTTAACAGAATTTTAAAAACTCCATTTACTTAAAATTGATAACAATGTCTTAATAGTGCTTGCAAAAAATTCAGGAGTCTAATACAAAAAATTATAACAAAAATGTCAAGAGATAACAAATGAAGTTAAACTGTTTTAATGTTTACATAGTTTAGAATGTAGTGAAAGTACTGATTAAGGGTAGACTGTAATAATTTCAGTATGCTTATTGTAAAACATTAATATTAAAAGATATATAACTAAAGAAATGAGATAGTGAGGTAGTAAACAATATTTGATTAATATTTTAAAAAGGCAGGAAAGGAGGAATAGAAGAACAAAGAAGACACGACACAAAAAATAAATAGCGATATGTTAGACTTGAGCCTAACTGTGTCAGTAATTACAATAAATGTAAACGGATTCACCATTCCAATTAAAGTCTAAACACTGATTGGAGAAAAACAGAAAATAAAACTGAAGTATATGCTGAATTACTTTTTGATAAAATGGGACCCGGGTGCCCGGGTGGCTCAGTCAGTTAGGGGTCTGACTCTTGGATTCAGCTCAGGACCTGATCTCATGGGTCCTGGGATTGAGTTCCCTGCTGGGCTCCCTGCTCAGCAGGAGTCTGCTTAGATATTCTCTCCCTCTGCCCCCTTCCCCCGCCTGGGCTCTCTCTCTCAAATAAATAAATAAATCTTTAAAAAATGGGACAGATAAGTTGAAAGTAAATGATGAAACTAATACACTATGAAAATATTAGCCGAAAAAGATAAGGTTAATATATTAATATCAGGCAAAGAATAATTTAAGGCAGAAAGTATTGCTAGATAAAAGAGGGCTATTTCACCATAATAAAAGAACTACTTGAACAGAAAGATGTAATAATTCTAAATGTGCATGAACATTTAGAATGACTGCTGGAGTTCGCTCATACCAACTCACAGGAGATAATTATAAACATCTCTTCCCAATACAGTATACAGTGATGTCACATTTGTAACTTAAAATTGACCATATCATGAGTATTTACACCATGGGTATTGGCAAATTCTACAAATCAAGACTCTTTCTTTTCCTTTTTTAAAATAGTTGATTGTTATACATTTGCCAGCATACCACTGTACATAAACCTAATAATATGTCTTCAAGATATAACAGAAGTAAAGAAGTAGACAAGTCCATCCTCATAGCTTGAGATTTAAATACACTTCTCCAAGTATTTGATAGAAAAGCAGATAGAAAATAAGGATATGGAATATATGAACACTATTTTTTTTAAGAGAGAGAGAGAGAAAGAGGGATAGTGAGGGGAGGGAGGAGGAGAGAGGGAGAAAGAATCCTAAGCAAGAATCTTAAGCAAGCTTCACACTTAGCCTGGAACCCGACATGGAGCTCAGTCTCATCACCCTGAGATCATGACCAGAGCTGAAATCAAGAGTCAAATGCTTAGCCAACTAAGCCACCCAGGCACCCCAAATATATGAACATTATTAACAAAATTGACCTTTTTGATTGTCATAGAATGCAACCTTCAGCAGCTGCAGCTACAGATTCATTCCAAGTACCCACGGAATATTCACCAAAATAGACTATAAGCAAGGCTCAACAAATTTCAAAAGATTGAAAATCACTGTAAGTACACACCTTGACCAGTAGACATTGTTAAGAAAAAATAACTGGAAAAATCTCAAAAGTTTTGAAGTTAAATAACACTTCTAAATCACTCATGGGTTAAGAAGAAATCACAATACATATTAGAATACAACTTGAACTAAACAATAATGAAAATATGCTATATATCAAAATTTGTGGGGTGATACTGAAGCAGAATTCCTAAACTTTACATCTGGGAGCCCTGTCCATAAAAGCCCTGCACTGTGACCTCAGGTAGTGCAGGAAGGTATCTGGCTCTGGAGAAATTTTCAGCTCTTCTCCTTAGTGGGTAGAAGCAGCAATGATTCAGGAGGCAGGATCTTGCTATCGTCATATTTTAAAAACCTTAAGAGTCCTGGGGCACCTGGCTGGTTCAGTTGGTAGAGCGTGTGACTCTTGAAAATAATGTGGAGCATTAGGAACTGCTGGTACAAAGGAAAATGGGAACCACCACAGCAGTAAAGAGTTTAGCAACTTGTAGTGAAGTTGAAAATATGCAGTACTTATTACTTAGCAGTTTTACTCCGAGAAATAGTCACTGAGAAACTAACACGCATGTGAACCAGGAGTCATGTGTGGTAATATTTATAGCATAGGATTTTTTAATAGCCAAAAATGGAAAAAACTTCAATATCCATCAATAGTTGAATGGATAAAAATTTATGGTATATTCGTG